TTCGTCTTCGTGGGGCGGAGGCCGGGGCCGCGGGGTGCCAAGTCTCTGGGAGAGGCGGGGGAAGGGGCAGTAAAGCTGGGCAGGAGCAGTAGCTTCTGAGCGCCCTGGTGCCTCGGGCGAGGCTGCGTTCCCTTTGGATGGGCGCCCGACGCCGAGTTTCCACCAGGCCTGGCGTGGGCTGGACGCTGCGGGCAGCTCCCTGGGGCTGGCATGGCACTCCTGAGGGGTGCCGAGCGGCCCCTTCCCTATCCATGGTTCCACCAGGCCTGGCGTGGGCTGGACGCTGCGGGCAGCTCCCTGGGGCTGGCATGGCACTCCTGAGGGGTGCCGAGCGGCCCCTTCCCTATCCATGGGGTGGCCAGGTGCTGCCCAGCGCCGGCTGCACCGGTGGGTTGGTTTTGTGACAGGCCCTTGGTCTCCGTGCTCGCTCCTGCTGTCTCGGGCTGATGCCATGTGCTGTGACTGGCTGTCGTGGGGGAGCAGCGGTTGAATTTCCCTCACCCCCGGAGCAGGGCTGGGGGGTTGTGCCCCGGCCCTGGGGCTAAAAGTGGGGTTGTCCCGGCTGAAGTTCGCCTGGGCTAGAGACCCGCTTGCTGCGGAGGCGGGGAAGCCGTGTGCCCCTCCCCAGGGCCACCATCTCTGCTCATCCCGGCGGAGAGCTCTGCATGCTGCCGGGCCAGGCTGGCTCGAGAGGAGGGGTCCGGGGGGCGCTGGTGGCTGTGGAATTGTCATTGTCTCTCACTGTTCTGGGAGGCCTGGGCCATGCTGCTGGGCCAGCTCTTCCTTCTGGGGGGGTCCCTCCCTGCAGCACGAGCGCTCTGCTCCGGTCTGCTCTCCGGGGGCGGGTAGGAGTGCACGGCCTGGTTCCAGCTGGATGTGCCCAGGGCCCAGCCCTGCTCCGCTTCGCACCTTCAGCTGCCCCACGGGGCACTCCCAGCCCCACGCTTAGGGGTCGGTTCCCGCGGCACACAGCAGAGCCAATCTCCTTTGCTGAGCTCCGGATGCCCCAAGCGCTGGTAGCGGGGTGAGTGTCGGGCGATGGTTGTTGCACGGGTGCCGCTGCGATAGCAAGGCAAGCGTCCAGCGACAGCCTGCCCCGGGCACTGCTGCCTGGCATGGGAGTGAGCCAGGTAATGGGCCCTCGCGGGGGGCTCAGGCTTTGCTTGTGATCACTGCGAGTCAGTGTCGCTTCTGCTTGCTTCCCTCTCCCTCCCTGGCCTGAAGAGCAAATCAGCCGCTGGCCCGCTGGGGCCTAGCGCTCAGCTGAAGCCTCTGCCGGCTACTGTAATGGAAATCGGCGAAGCAGCTGAGGTTTATTTTCATTGTCTGCGGGAGACCCGTGTGGGTAACACCCTCTTCAGTGGGCTGTTTTGACATTCACGCGGGGATCCCAGGAAACTTGTTTTTGAATGTGTGTTGTCAATCTGGCCTCATCCCTTTGTCAATACGGGCCCGAAACCGCCCGCTAGTCAATAGGAAGCGCTAAGACCGAGATCTGATTTTTGTCAGATTTCAAGATGTTCTATTGACTTTCTGCATTTGATCCTCTTTGGCCAGTGGCACGTCTTTATGGAGTAAATCTGACACCGTTCAATTGATTTCCCTGTTATTGACTACCACTTGCACCAGCTATCCATCTCCCCAGCCTGGCCTGTTAGCATGGAGACACAAGCCTTGGGGGGTTGTTTGCTGGGAGAGCCAGCAGGCTGCCCTTAGACCACGGTTATTCAGCACGCGGCCCGCGGGGCAGCTTGGGTTTACGCAGGGCTCAACGCGCCGCCTGCGGGTGGGAGCCAAAACAAAGTAGTCGTCAATAGCATGTTCTCCTGTTGCTACGTGGTTTAGTAGTTCGGTTCCTGGCCTGTCATTGCCCATTAGAAGTGCTGTCGGATGGGTGGAGATGGGGTAACTATTGCATTTCAGTAATAGCAGCAGAAATGACTTGGGCAGGGCCTGCGTGTTGTGTTGTCTTGCCGTCATCTGTATTCATGCCTGTCAGTGTGGAAGAAACTATTTGCATGTATATGCAACCACACTTAAGTTGTGGCCCTCGGCACGTGCTGTATCATTGTGGCCCCCGGGGCTTCCAAAGAGGAGTGGCCGTGCCTTAGACTGTGGGGTAACAGCGCACAAAGGGGGTGGAGGAGGCTGTGAGCGCCCCGTCTCAAGTTCCGTACGGGGAGAGGCGGCTTGTTTGCAGAAAGGTGGCATTCTTCCCCTCGACATCTGGGACGCCGCTGCTTGGCCCGGGAGGGGGCGCACGTCCTGGGGAAGGAGGTGGCGGTGGGGAGAGACGAGGTAATGGAAAATAGGAGTGTGTCCGAGTGCAGAGTTCTAACGTCCTGCCCCCTGGTCAGTGCCAGCTCATCGTTACGCTTTCGCCAGCTGTGTGATCGCGGCGCTCCCGGCCAGCCGCTGTGTAACGCTCTCAGACCAGGACCGTTCCTGCCGGCTCCCGTTTTCTCGGGGGTGGGTTAATGCTTCGAGCAGTTGGGAACCTCTCCCAACGCTTTGGAACAGCACATGGCCTGGTCTTAGTGCCCCGTATGGCGCACGGGTGGTGCCATGTGGCGCCCCAGAAAAGATCACGCTGGAGCAGGTTGAAGTGATGCAGACGATGCTTCTGGGATTGTC